ACTTATTTGTTTTTAAACATGTCTTTATTAGTCATTTAATGTTAAACAACAATCGTTAACTATTGTATAGTCAAATAGTTATATTTATCGAATTCGTTATTTACTGTCCACTGCCAACTATCCGCCACCCGCTACTTACTACCCATTACCCACTACTGCTATCTGCTATCCGCTACTTGCTATTTGTTATCTGCTGAATTTTAATCACTGTACTAAACAAGCCTTTAATTAAGCAACACAATTATTTTTTTGTTAAACTATTGTTCTTGGAGTTTGATAAAAAAGTTGGGAGTATAGGTGCAAAAAAAGATGTCAACTTTATAATTTTTTTTTATTTAAAGATGTTAACTTTATTAATTTTTAAATAAAAATGTCAACTTTTAACATTTTTTATTTAAGGATGTCAACTTTCAATTTTTTTTATTTAAGGATGTTAATTTTCAACATTTTAATTACAAAATTCAATTGTCACATTAGTATCATTATTCAATTAATTTTTAAATAAAAAAGTTTAAAATTGGTATCCGTAAATAAAAAAAAGTTAAAAATTAACATTTTTAAATAGAAAAATTTGAAAGTTAACATCTTTATTTAGAAACTAACAAAATTAACTAACAAAATTAATATCATTAAATAAACAAAATGTAAAATTAATATCTTTATTTATACTTTTTTTCAAAAAAGTTGGCATCAATTTGTTAAATTTTGGTTAATTTTTTTAAAATAAAAAGTTTGGATGGTGATTTAGTTCAACTCTTTTTATTGAGTACCAATTTACTTTAATTTTAAAATATTAAGGAGTTGTTTGTTCATTTTACCTTTTCAATCTCTATAAAGAGGTGACTGAGTGTTTGTTATTTATTTATTTATTTGTGTGTAAATTGGGCGTAATGTTTACATTTCCAAAATCGTGCTTTGCCCAGCTGCGGAGGCTAAGAATACCGACCTTTACAATCATTATTGACAGGGCTGCAAAGTTATTTGCATGACTGCATTTATAATGGGAATAGAAGGGGAGTAGAGAGCTTAATCTATTTATTCCCGAGAGATCAGGGAATATTCAAATCTGGCCTTCATGTTGCAATTACCGCTGGCCAGGAGGACATAGCACGCGTCCTCTACCGACTGATTGATCTGAAAGAACTTTCACGTGAAGACTATGGCTTCATTCTTCTTGAAGAGTGTATAACTAAGAAAATGTTCGGTAAGAGCTCTAATTATCATTTCTTTTTTTTCTCTTTGCTCTATAATTGTTGTTTTGTTTTCTCTAACAAAACTTTTTAATATCAGAAATTGCATTAGATTTACTCAACAAATTTCCAGACTTGGCAACTAACATACCCCCTCAGGGTTACATTCCAATCATTTTAACACTTGTTAAAACACTTGCTTCATTCGTCAGAGGAAGTCGACTTGGACGTTGGAGATTGTGGATATGTTATTGTCAGTAATGCTTCTCTATTCATATTTACATATTTTACTTAATTTTGCATCTAGTCTATTTAATTTAATTATGAAAAGTAATTAATACACCATTCAGTTTAATATACTTCATAATACATTTATTAAGAAACTATTATTTGAAAAGTTGAATTAAATTTGAGAATACTCTAATAGTTGAATTAGTGGCTATTAATGACTGTATTAAACCAAAAAATGTACTCATCATTTTTCTTTAATTATTTATTAAACTTGGATTTCTAATTACTCTCATATCCTAGAAATAATTTTTTTTGGGTTTTGCTATATCTTTCTTAATTTGTTTTCTGATTTGTTCTTCTGGATTGATTTAGTCTATGAGCTGCTATATTTTTTTTATTATAATTGTAATTGAAGTCATAGAAGTAGATGAAGACCTAATCTTTAATAAATATTAAATAAATACTTGATTGATCTTTCAAAATTTTCAATAAATATCAAATAAATTCTCAATAAACTTTTTAAAATTCAAATTCAATTATATTTAATTTTAGAGAAGAGCTTTCTTCGAGTAAAAATTTTAATCACCTTATGATATTATTATATTGTGCATATAAGTTGTATGTAGCTTATGTGAATGGATATTTAATTATAACCATTAGGCATCTTCCCGTTGAGATTTTTTTCCTGCTTAAAAGATAAAATAATTGTTAAAATCTTCAATAAATCTCAAATAAATAATTAATGAATTTTTTAAAAATTTCAATAAATACTAAATAAATAACCTATGACTTTTTAAAATCTAAACTCAATTATATTTTACTATGTTATAAATATTGTTAAAATCCTTAATAAATCTTGAATAAATACAATCTTCTAAAATCACTAGTAAATACTAAATAAATACTCAATGATTAAATACCAAATAAATAAATAAATACCCAATGGTTTTCTAAAATTCAAATTTAATTGTATTTTACTATTTTATAAAAACTGTTAAACTCTTCAATAAATTTCAAATAAATATCTAATAAACCTTTTAAAATATTCAATAAATAATAAATAAAAACCTAGCAAGCCTTTTAAAATCTTAAATAAATACTCAATAAATTTTTTAAAATCCAAACTCAATTATATTTTATTATCTTATTATATTATAAAAATGGTTAAAAATCTTCAATCAATCTCAAATAAATACTCATTAATCCTTTTAAAATCCTTCTAAAATATCAAATAAATACCCAATTGGTCTTTTAAAATCATCAATATGTTAATTTTAATGATCAAGGTCTCAATTTGATTCCACAAATTAATTTAGCAAAAAAAAAAAAAAAAAAAAACCCAATAACTTCCCTTCCTATACTTCAATTCAGTTGATTCAGTAACTTCATTTCAAAATTGGTTTGAAATGTATAATTATATAATAGTTTAAATTCAAATTCAATTATTTCTTATTATATTATAAAAATTATTGAAATTTTTAATAAATCTTGAATAAATACCAAATGACCTTTTAAAATCTCTTCAAAATCTGAAATCCAATAGTCCTCTTAAAAAAATTCATTTAGAAAGTTGAATCTTGATTAAATCAAATTAATACACTTTCAAATTTCTAGAAGAGCATAATACATATAATTGCTTAACATTACTTTAATTAGATCAAATTTTTTACTAATTGTTCTCAAATTTCAGTTCAATTACTCTAAAATAATTTGACATGTACATTTACATATTATTAAAGTTGAAAACAACTTACCAAAATATACAATTGGATTTCTACTTCAATTATATAATATGGTTAATGAAAATGCATATTAGATTATATTTAAAGTGACACTTTCGCTGATTGATTCTTCTTTAGTTTATTGTTTTAGGACTAAAAGAATAATAATTAAGCTGTAAATAATTTTAAATAAATGTATTTCTTAATAATAATTACTAAAATATCAAAAATTATAAATTAAAAATTCAATTAATTTAAATGATGCATATCAATTTTCATATTGAGAACTTTTTAATTAAAGAAACTATATTTACTAACATATATTTGATGGTGTTAAATTTTGTGCAATCAATGAAATTGTTAGACTTGTTAGAATAATATAAAAATTGATATATATAATTTATATGAATAAAAATTTTCAATCCAATATTAATTTTTCAAAATATTAATTAGAAAATGAGCTTTTAGACATTTCCTCCAAAAAAAAAAAATGGAATGACGATTTGTAAAACACTTTCCCTTTTCTCATTTATCTTTAAGAAAATAATTAGTACACACTCTAATTCAACACATCTTTTAACATTCATTCAATTTAATCATTAAAATATATAACCGATTCACCTTTTGTTTTTACATGTTGTGCCATAATAAATGATGGTTTTTTAATGAATATGTCTTACAATGTGTTGAATCGAAGACTGTATCAATCAATGTTTTTATCTTTAATGGATTTTTTTAACCTGTGCCATAAGGGCTTACAGGTTATGGATGCATTTATTGCACCTTTTCACCATTACTTTGTGTGAAAAATTATGAAAATAAACTTTATATTTAACACTAATAGCACATAACACATTTTAATTAGATATTTGATAAAACTAAAGTTTTTTTTTTTTTTACACAAATTAATAGAGAAAAAGTACAATAAATCTTACTTTTAACATGTGCCTTGAGGCACAAGGTAAAAAATTCCAATTATAATTTGATAGAAAGTTGTCAAAATTTAATATTTAACTATTCCTAATTTCCCTAAAAGTTCTTAAAGTTAGCTTATTTCAAGAAATAACAACTACTGACCAAGTACAACATTATTGTTTTTCTTTTCCGTCATTTTTGTGCTCTTTATTCTTATATGTAGAATAAAGCAAATATATATATATTTTTATCAGCAAAACGAACATATGATCTACAGTCGAGAGATGTGGATGCTCGTGAGGTTGTAAGTTTCTTATGTCAGAAATTGCGAGATTTAGAGCACAACCAATTTGTGCAAAATATAGCAGTAGAAGCTATCTTTCTGGCCATTAAGAATGGAATCCCGGAGATTGCAATTGAGATAGCGGTTGAAATTGCAAAAGCTAAAAAAGATATATTGTGGACCAGCACTGATCCTGAAGATTCAAGAACCATTTTTGCATATGCTATAGCACATCGTCAAGAGAAAGTGGCAAGCTTTCTTTATGGACATAAGGCAGTTAAATTGTATGACACTGATGAATATGGAAACAATAACTTACATCTAGCAGCAAAGTTGGCTCCTCAATTTCAACTAGATCGCATCTCTGATGCAGCTTCGCAGTTGCAAAGTGAAGTACGCTGGTTTAAGGTAATCATTGTTTAATTTTTATCTTTATTTTTTCTTTTTCTAATTAACTGGGAATTCCTTCTTTTGTATTCTGTGCAATTGTCAAATTATTTTAATAAAAATCACACGTCATTCTTAGAATATTGAAAAAGTTAGTTCAATTGAGTTAACTAACCCTATTGATTTTTCAATTTTTTATAAGTTGAAAATTTATGCCACATTTTATTATTTTCATAGATGATCTGATTTATTAAATTTTGATTTATTATTATTTTCTCACTTAACCAATGCAGTCGGTGGAAGAAATTGTTCCACGGTTCTGCAACGAACAGAAAAATAAAGATGGTGAAACTCCTTACCAAGTGTTTGTTAAAGAACATAAGAACATGTTAAAAGAAGCTGAAGAATGGATGAAGAAAACTGCAGAATCTTCTACAGTCATAGGTGCTCTTATTATCACTATTATGTTTGCTGTGGCTTTTACTGTTCCAGGTGGGAACGATGAAAATACAGGATTCCCCATATTTTTGAACACAACGGCACCGGCAGAATCTTTTACGGTTACACCGTTTACGTTATTCATAATATCAGATGCAATTTCCCTTTTCACTGCAGCCAGTTCAGTGTTGATATTTTTGGGGATTCTCAGTGCACGTTACGCTTATGAAGATTTTCTTATATCCTTGCCCATAAAGTTGATTTTTGGTCTTTCTTTTCTCTTCATCTCTATTGCAACAATGACAGTAGCATTTTGTGCTACTCTTTACGTGATGCTACGAGGTCAACAGAAGGAAGTCATTCCAATAACTGTGCTTGCTGGTATTCTTATCATGTGCCTTGTGTTGATGCAGCTTCCTCTTCTTCTTAAGAATATGGCTTTAACTCCTAGGCGAAACATCTTTGATAGAAAAACTGCAACAGCATAGGAATTGCTTGCCAGTAATATCCCCATCCTTTCATTTGTGGTAGACGTAGTGATCGATATAAAGGACCGACTGATCAGCTATCTAAGAAGCAGAAACGGATAGTCGTGGTTAAGTGTACTTTTTGTTTTTTTAGCTATGTGGTGCAATTAAACGACTCTAGTCTATATATTTTCTAGTTGGAATAAGTACTTGGTGGATCGATGTATATTCTTTCCAGATTTCGAAGTCAAATTCTTCTTTGCAAATTGCATTTTTATTGCTAATTCATTTTCCATCTAAGTTCAATAATTATATAATTAAAAGTTTTGTATATTTAAATTTGAAGACATCAGCAAACATAACAGAGATCATTTAGAGCATGGTTTTGCAGAGCTTTTAAGCAATTAACTTCCTTAAAAGCCATTTGCTGTCTTGTAAATTTCTAGATTTTTTGGAAGAAAATTTTAAATATGGCTTATAATCAAGTTTTAAAACAAGCATACAATCAGGTCGAGTTCAAAATAAATAAATAAATAAAAGATTCAAAACCTTGAAGAAAGCCAGATTGTTTTATTCAAAGATGTCAAGAACAATTTTACAGATGTGTAGAATTTTGCAGAATGGACCAAGCCCCAGACCACACCAGAGAACTCGAAAGGGCTCCATAGGTCTCGATTGGACCATGGATTGCACCGATTTACTACCTGGTCTGATCGGGAATGGCGCCATCGTCTAGATCTCAGGTGGGTAGAGACAACGAAGTGGCTGTTAGTGATTTTTTTTTTTACCCTAAAAAAAAAAATCAGGACACCCTTTTTCTTAATAATGTCATAATATTTTATTAGTATGAGATATAATATAAGTTTTAATTTTATTAAATTTTTTATCTAATTATTATTAAATATTTTAATATTTTTAGTGTTACATACTTATTTTTTTTCTTCATTTTATTCTTTAATTTCATTTATTCTTGGTTTAAGTACCATTTTGGTCCCTCAACTTTCTATTTTGGTACCAAAATTGTCCTTCAATTTTAAAAAGTACTAAAATTATCTTTAAACTTTATTTTTGGTACCAAAACAGTCCTTCTATCAGTTAAATGACAAGTGTCACGTTAACTTGCCAGCAAATCAATTCTTTTTTTTCTTAACTAATGACGTGGAAAAAAAACATAGTTGGCCTATAAATTGGCATTTTTATTTAATTTAAAAATTAATGATTTTTTTTTTCATCTAGGTCATCTCTTCTTTCTCTCTCCTTTACCTTTCCTTTTCCCTTACCTCTGCAAACCCAAATCTGGGATCTGGGTTCTCTCTCAGACTTCATCTTCTTCCTTTCCCTACTAATCCTTCTTCTTTCTTCTTCTTATTCTCTCTCTCTCTCTCTCTCTTCTCCCTTCTTCTTCATCTCTCAAACCCAAATCTGGGTTTTTCTCAATTGTGTCGTGTTCATTTTCTATACAAAATGATAATCCAAAAAAACCTTCAAGCACAAATCACTCAAACAGTAGAACTAAAGCAAACAATTTTTTAGAAAAAAGAAATGCTAATCCATACAGAAGCTAAAGGATTTAAACTGTAACCATTAGAAGTAAGAACAAAATTAGCGTGTAGCAATTAACTACTAACCACTGTTGCACAAAAAGAAGATCAGCGATTTGAATAATTGTTTAAGAATCCTTAGTAGAAACTGAATTGACATGTCTAGCATTTCAACGCTAAAGAAACAGTGGAAGAAAGAAAAAGGCGATATGAAAAGGCAGAGAAACTCATCCATCCATTTCGAAAAGAAAAAAAATACAAGAAGTAAAAAATCCACAAGAAAAGCACTAGATACTATAATCCTGCCATCATTTACAGAGCTAAAATTGAAACATGACTAAAAAAAGGATCCGAAATAGGAATGGTGCTCGGGACATGAATCATGCTCCAGCTCCAGATTTGGAGTGATAGAGCTTGCCAAACACATGAAGAGCAGTGACAAAGTTGATGAAGCAGAGACTCATGACAAGGACAGCGGTGGGTGAGATCTTCAAGCGAGGGGCCTCGTCAACTGTTGTCCGAGCCTACAGTGAGCCAGATCTCGACGCATGTTACTGTCAAAGTCGGAGCTGACAGAGCCAGATCCCGACGCGGTCAAGCCTACAATGAGCCTGCGATAGCGCATACTAGCCGTTGTTGCTGCAGAGCCGTGTGGGGGCCATGACGCCAAGCTTCAAGCTCTTCTTCACAACAGTATTCGTTGATTTAGAAGAGAAATGGCGAGTGGGGAGAGAAGCGGAGGTAGATGGAGAAATGTAGAGTTTGTCTCAAGCCCCAATCTGGGTTTGTCTCAAACCCATATCTGGGTAAAACCCAGATCTGTGTTTGTTTTGGAGAGGAAGAAAAATCGATTAGAGAGAGAAAAGAATAAGAAAGAAGATGAAGTTTTTATTTTTTTGTCTTTAGTTTTGAAAAATTATGAAATAATATAAAAAATGTTAAATTTTCTTACCTGAAATTTACACGTTATTAAAATTAAAAAAATTCAATGATTTTGTGGCAAGATAACGTGTCACCTGTCACTTAACTGATAGGATGACTATTTTGGTATAGAAAATGAAAGTTTAAGAATAATTTTGGTACTTTTTAAAGGTGAAGGACAATTTTAATGCCAAAATAGAAAGTTGAGGGACCAAAATGGTACTTAAACCTTTATTCTTTTATTTCGATTATCACAAAATAGATAATCCATGTCAGCAGAGGTGGTGTCCAAGTCATTGAATGAGTTCCAGGCAAGTAAAAAGGAACGGATTTAACGGCATGCACGTGACTTTTGTCGTGAAAGTTTGGGTTTTTAGTGAATTTTAAAAAGTAAAGGCTATTGGCGGGAGTAAAAAATTATTGAGGATGTTTAGT